CTGCTTTGAGTGCCAAACTGATATAAACACCCTGGAGGGATGCAAATACAGCTCTGTTATACAGAACTGTATAATGCTACTGTGTAATGTCCTTCATGAAAATATCTACTAAGCGTCTTCTTAACACATAAAGCTAGAGCCAGCCTAAGACTGAGCAGTGAGGCTTAGTAGCTGGCCAAGTGAATTGTAACCAATATAAGGTACAAGGCTGAGAAAGGGAGGTAGCACCTATGTTTTCCCTCTCATTTGCTGAATTACAGATGACCACTGGACTGTGGCAGAACGTTGAGGGAGGAAAAACACATACAGAGGAGCAGGTGAGGAGGTACTGTAAGTGGCCATAACAGAGAGAATTCAAATACGGAGAGGTAGTGAAAGTCAGATAATGACTGAGAGATCTGGAAAGAGGAGAAAAAAGGAGACTAAGCAAGGGGAAGACTTGAGAAAAAAGGGGGAAAGTGAGAAAAATGAAAGAGAAAGAATAGAAAATTTGAGGAAAATGGCATAGTTCTTCCCCTTTTCCATGCATTCCTCCCTGCTAGCTGTTAATGCTGTAACCGAAGAAGGCTCGCTCCTAACACAAGATGCTGGGCTCTCCCTCTCCTACAGCAGGACAAAAAAGGCTGACTGCACATTTGTAACATCTCATCACAGATTTGCCTACAGTGCTGAACCACCCTCTCCTCTGGAAAATCTTATCCATGGGGGTGCTGTGTTTGCAGTCTCTATTGGTACTTATTGCAGGAACAGCTCAGAACCACTTTTATGAACAGGTACTGGTATAAAGCACTTGCAGGTTAGCACACGTCTGATGGGAAAGGATCACAGATACAGTGACTCCCTTTCATGGTAACTTATCATTGAAAATGTTCAAGAGCATTTAAATAAGGGAAATTGACTTCTTGGCAAGTTCCTTACGTTTTCAGGAAACACAGCAAACAGCTGGGCTTTTGCTCTAGCTTTTCCTGTGGATGAACTCTTTTATGCACTGATGAAAATGTTTGCATATCTTCACCCAGCGTTCTTGTATCTGTAGAAGCAGACACCTTTCATACAGAATTGAATGGGTGCTTGCAATAAGATTTTGACTAGTTTCTGGTCACCCATCCAGTCTATAGGTAAAAACACACCAGTGAAAGCACATTTATAACGATTTAGCATTCTGAATACACAGTGCTGAAAATACCCTGCTTGTATTTTTAGGGAGATGACCCATCTACTGAAACCTAATAGGACATTTCGTTATTATCCTTCAGACATTCCATGAGGAAAAGTTATTTAAATGCATGATGCAACCATTCTATCTGGGTTTCTTTCAGTATCAAATAGCTGTGTTTTTCAGAGAACTAAAGGCAAAACATCAATAGTATTTATTTTAGGCGGGGAAAAAAATATCCAAACATCTGTGCTCTGGAATAAGTGAAGAAATACTTTTTGGCTATTTTACCTTGAAAATGAGCCTCAATGATTTGACCAACTATTCTGAATATAGCAGTTATGGAGGACAAGAAACTTGCTATCAGAACTTTGTATTAACAAAAAATGCCTCATGTTATGCCACCCTTCTTTTCAGACCTGTGCAGGACATGACTGGATTGATACCTTTCTTTTAATAAATACATGTCTGTGTCATTATCATTCTGGTCAGTGCCTTCTGAACACATCCAGGAGACAGAAGAATTACAGAAATTCAAGCCACAGATGATTAAAAGGACCAAACTAATGAATCACACTTTCATTACTCAAAGAAAATAGTATTTGAAATACCGTCAAACGTGGTGGTGGCAAAAATGAAGCGCACTCGGCCTGCATGCCCAGCAGAGTGCTATCTTTCAAGCCTGCCAGTTAGCTTTCTGAAGTTTAATTGGTGGCTGAAGCGATCAGAACAGGAGGTTCCGCGGAGGTTTGAGCTACAACAGGTCCACATAATTGGTGAAGGTTTTGGAAAGTATATTGACTTGCCTTAGAAGCTTTGCTTATGTTCATAACAACAAGTTTAATCTAATGGCTTCTTTTTGTTCTTTGGGTTGGTTTTTTTTTTTGCTTTTCTTGTCAGGGAGCAATGACAGGCATGCCTGAGACTCCAATTGGTTTCAAAGGTGGAAATGGACTGGCATACAAGTAGAGGCAGCAGAAAAATGATTATGAAAGTGAACCATTCAGTATTCTGGCGAAGCTGGAAAATTAGGACTGTTTACATAAGCCAGAACTTATTTGCATTTCCTGACATTTCTAGTGTCTTTTTCCCTCAATAGAGAGTTTATGTCATAAAACTGATAAAGAATGAAAGAGTGAAAAACAAGTAAAATGTCCTGCCATCTCAGGTAGCGGTATCTGCAGTTTGGCCAAATCCCTTTCCTGCTCTTAAACTGTTTCAGATTCAGCGATATATGCATCTGGGACAAAGCTCTTAAAGAGCATCCAAACCCAAATGTTTCAATACTTGTTTGCACAGGTCCAGTTGATATTTTACACAGAGCATGGGCAGATTCAAACTTTGCATTTCTAAGCAACATTCAGAAACCATTTGCGAGTGTAATTCCAGAAACCCTTTAGAACTTGTCCCCCTTGTCTTACCCAGCATTACGAAGCAGCTTTGATAGATGTAATAGGCACACAAATAATAGTTTCTAAATGACTCAGTTTCACAGTAGGCAGAACATATTCTCAAATTATTCTCCCATTTAGATACTCTTTCTGATTTCAAAATGAAGTAGAAGCTATGAGAGTTGGAATACTACTGACTACTCCTTTTAATTACTCTTAACATTTCTGGAATTACTATGAGGACTGATATTTATCAGTGCCAATACTTCCAATACCAGGGAGGAAGATCTCCCTCTTCTCTCTTCCCCTGCCCAAGACCCTGCTCGCCTGCAGGACAAATCACACCAACTCCCTCTAAGTGCACAAGTCACAGAGACAAAGCATCTTTCATTCTAAGGACAGGCTGGAACAGCTCTTCTGCTGATTCCTCCTCTCCATGTCAGGAGAGAGGGAATGTATTAAACACACTAACAGTTTAGACAGCCCAGGAGGTATTAAAACCTACACGAGATGACTCTCAGCAACGTATCAAGCTTGCTCTACCTCCAGGCATAGAACCTAAGTGCTGCACTCACTGACTGTGCCACAGACACCTCTGGCATTTGCCCACCCATTCCCCTGTACCAGTGCTGTCCCTCGCCCTCACAATCAAGGTTTCACTGAGCCTTGGAAGAGCCAAATACCTAGTCATTTTGAAGCGAAAGAAGCCACAGGAAGGACCTGTAAAGAAACCATTTTTACCCCAGTGCTGGCTGCAACTTACAGCAATGGAGCAGAGATTTACTAGGCTTTCCTCCGCAGTATTGTAATGGAGAAAGCACGCAACACCGGACTCAAAGTCAAATTAAACAAAATGCCATTAAAAACTTAGCTGCTGAGACAACATTAGATCAAAGCTGACCAAAGGATAACACAGTCATGAGACAAGTAATAGCATTAATTTAACTAAGTAATTCCTGAACACAGCCTCCATAATAGCAAATCTTCCTATAAAATCCTCTCTCCCATTTTATTGGCACTGTAATGCAATGGAAGTTTGGCAGAAAACACAGTAAAGGTGCTGTAACGCTACTAATGAACAGGACCTGTGTATAGGGGAGTCAATATGCATAAGCAAAAAGACCAATGGCACAACATGGAAATGGAAAATTTCCATGGAAATGGAAAAGCTCTGAAGGTGCTGGACACAACTCGCAGGACTAAAATGAGAACCCTGCTCTGATTTAAATAAGCTCTCATTTGAATCAGCAGGAAACTGGCTCCAAACTTCCCCATAGCCATCAAGGGTAGGGCACTGCTCGCCTCCTCACCTCTGAACAACACCCAGGCACATCTGAGGTGCTACAGCTAAATGTTTAAGATCAGCAGTGGACATCCTCATAAACAAACTTCAACATAAACATTCTACCAGGCATATGTAAATATGTACTGAGATTTATATCATCTATTCAGTGCCTCTGACATTTCACAATAGTGTTTATTTCCTTACTTGCTAATTCACAGAACTGGATAATCTACAAGGAATTTACATATTAGAAATGAGCAAGACTCTTGGGCATAACTTCATAAATATGACATTAGCATAGCAACGTTCTAATACAAACATACACAATGCTAAGTAGGAATAAAGCATTTCCTAAGGGCAGAGGAGGTCCTGTAGCCACTGAATGAGTGCTGTGTGACAGCTTGCAGGGAGCTCAATGACGGTGAAAGGACCCAGCCTGTCCTGCGAAGCAGTGCTCTGTGCTGCCTCCCCATCCTGAACACGCAGAGGAAAAGAGGCTGGGAATTGGGTTAGAGAATCAGTGAGCCTCCAACTGTATCAGCCCAGCACTCTTGTCAGGGCAGGGAAGATAAAACAATTCCAAGGCCAAAACAGCTCTATGAAGACAGTGGGATTTAGTCTGCAAATGTGGATTCCTTTCTTTCCAATGAAGAAAAAACCCCACAAGTAGTCTATGACGACCATTTATAGACTCCAACATGTGGCCTGTATTCACAACTGTTAGTGTCCACACTAATTTACTATTACAATGTAAACGAGAACATAATTTATGATTACAGTGCAAATAAACCTCATTATAACGAATCATTTTTTCTGTCACCTGGTCACTAATGGACACAAAAATCATTCTGAGACCTGACATACCATTTCATAGAGACACCAATGAGAAAATGTTTCCAACAAAACCAGGTAAAATATAAACTGGAGGTTTAAAGATTCCCCCGTTACACGAGGGAGTACCCGTGAACAGTTCTGGAGAAGGCACACACTGTAACTGAATGCAGGCTTTTGTTAGTCCGCTAAGGATGTCAGAGGCGTTTGCTTTTTCCCCTTGACTCATCCTTTTTCCTAGTGGGTATTCTGACCCTTAGTCCTTGGAAATCCAGCAGTACCAAAAAGTTCCTCTCTGGTGCCTCATTAATCACTCCCCTGCCATGTGCTATCTTACCTGCAGATGTAATTCTTCTTGCAGGACTCTTGTAAATTCAGGCAGTTTGGTTTCTCCCTGTCCTCATATGAACACACAGGAACAATAGTCTGCCGTCTCCTTTCTGTACAGGCTACGTCTCGACAGGAGCAGAAGAGCATCCCGTAGCTGTGCTTTGGGGGGACTTTGTCAAAAAATAGCCGGAGGGCCTTATGACACTTCCGCTTGTTACAGATTTCATTAGACGTGCTGCTGGTGCAGGGGGTTATGTAAGCAGATCTGAACCTCTTGCAGGTATCATTTAGGTTACAAGCTTTTGCTGCATCCAAGCAATTGTTCCCCTTTGAAAGTACTGGCTCCACTAGAAAAAACAACACAACAGCAGTGAGAAACGCGGCACATTTATATGGTGGTTTGATGTTTTTTTCTGTTCGTTTCACTGTCAATGAGATCCTGATTAATATATTTGTTACATGTACAACTCTCAGCGCCAGAAACTGCAACCAGCCCTTAAGTTTCTTAGGGTAATGGTTTAACGAGTAAGCAAGAGCACAGGCATGCATTAAGAACAAAATGCTGCCAAATAAATGACCGTTACACTGGGCAGGCTGTACTTCATCTTCCTTTTACCAGACATGCAGGATGAATACGGGGCAACACTTGGCCTCAATACAAAGCTATTAAAACCATTGGTAAGTTGGTTGGGATACGTTTAGCCCATCACACAAGAACACAGCAAGTGGGCTCCTGACTGGTTTTGTACAGCTCTGACGTTTCTTATTTTCCCCTTGAACAGTATAAATGACAGTCAGCATCTACAACAAGTAACAATATTTAAACGTAATTTGTGTACCCTGCAGAACGTAAAAGCCACGTGCCTGTTACTATAGCTTTTGAGGTATGAGAACAGCCCACCCAGGCAGAAAGGGAAGCAGGTGCAGCCTTATGACTGAGCTATCTAAGGCCACCCACAATGCCTGTAAGCTCCACACTTAAAGACACTTACATGAGATCTATAGATGCCACCTGAACCCTGGAAGTTGATGAGTTTACAAGTTTTGAGGAAGCTGATGTAGAATTAATAAGTAACTGAAAAAAAACCCAAACCATTCTTGCCTACAAGAAGTTACAGAAAAAAATTAAACTCAGATAAAAGTTAAGGCTATAATTACACATTTAATTTTGCAATACTTTATCCAGATATTAAAACTCAATATATGCTTTGGTTGAAAATGAAGGCAACTGGAATTAGAATGCAAAATTCAATTAAGAATAATCGTAACGCTGCTCTGGATATTAGGAATGCCAACATCACAGATCTAAGAAAATACATTAACTTCCCATTGCTACAGATTTTGCAAGCTGAACAAAACATTTTGCAAATAACTAAAACTCTGCAGCAACCTCCTAGGGGGGTTGGCCAAATGTAAAACATCTCCAATGACCTAAAGCTCTGAGTTCCTCTTAGAAACCTTTCTTAACAGATATTCCAGCTTTTCCTATAACTCAGTCCAAGGCCCTTCTACAACTCAATGCCACTCCACTGCACTCTCCTGCTATGCCAATGCCCATTCCCATATCAGGACATCAACCTTTTCTGTTTTTCCATGGCAGGAAGAGAAGATGCAGCCTGGGGGATGCTCTGCACTGAGGTACTGTACTTGCTTGAACTGACTGTGTTCAAGATGGCCCTTGGATGTCAGCACACACTCAGCATTATAGAGCTACACACATACATACATCTCTACTCCTCCATGTGTCTTAACCATGCCAAGTGCAAGGTCCTACACCTGGGTCGGAGCAATCCCAGGCACAGCTACAGGTTGGGCAGAGAAGAGAATCAGAGCAGCCCTGCGGAGAAGGACTTGGGGGTGTTGGTTGATGGGAAAATGAACATGAGCCGGCTTCAGTGTGCACTTGCAGCCCAGAAAGCCAACTGTATCCTGGGCTGCATCAAAAGGAGCGTGACCAGCAGGTCGAAGGAGGTGATCCTGCCCCTTTACTCTGCTCTTGTGAGACCTCACCTGGAGTATTGTGTGCAGTTCTGGTGCCCTCAACATAAAAAGGACATGGAGCTGTTGGAACAAGTCCAGAGGAGGGCCATGAGGATGATCAGGGGACTGGAGCACCTCCCGTATGAAGACAGGCTGAGAAAGTTGGGGCTGTTCAGCCTGGAGAAGAGAAGGCTGCATGGTGACCTCATAGCAGCCTTCCAGTATCTGAAGGGGGCCCATAGGGATGCTGGGGAGGGACTCTTCATTAGGGACTGTAGTGACAGGACAAGGGGTAACGGGTTCAAACTTAAACAGGGGAAGTTTAGATTGGATATAAAGAAGTTCGTTACTGTAAGGGTGGTGAGGCACTGGAATGGGCTACCCAAGGAAGTTGTGAATGGTGCATCCCTGGCAGTGTTCAAGGCCAGGCTGGATAGAGCAGGTTGGAACCAGATGGTCTTAAGGTCCTTTCCAACCCTAACTATTCTGTGATTCTATCCAGAAATAACGCAATGCATAAGTAGCATTAGATTTGTTTTTCACTGTAGTAATATACTGCAACTACATTCAGGATGCTCATACATTTAACCTTTGTACATTTAACATTCACACTCCAAGTCCTTCCCAATCTTGCACAATAAACTGCAACTTTTTGCTTCTTACCTTCGTAAATTACAGAATTATAAACATGCGACATTTAACAGAGCCAAGCATTTCTTTCAATAGCAGCCTCCCACAGTTCAAGCAACACCAGATGCAGCAGATATCCAAAATACAACCCTCTCAGAAAATTGTAACACTTCCATATAAAATGTTGTACTACATTAACATCCAACTATAATCTTAACTATGAACTCGCAAAGTTTTTTCTTAATACAGTATATAGAATTATATGTTTAGTACAAATATAATTACTATGTAATCTGCCGGGCATATAATTATGCAATATATGAATAGCACATGCTAATTACTGTGTGATTGCAGAGTAATTACATGGTTATTTGTGCCTGGAGTCAACTGCTGAATTCCACTCTTCAAAACAAGATTCTATGGAAGAGCTTCGAATGGGGCATTGCAATATGAACAGACATCAGCTTGCTCTGTGATACATTATAAAGCACGCTTTAAAGAAAAAACAAGACGTAACAAGGCACCTCTTTGCTGATAATCATAGATATTATTTCCGTTAAGGGTCCAAACTTTAGCAAATGTTGCTACAGAATTAAAAAGCACTGTGAATATGAACACCTCAAAAATCAAAAGAGACAGGTTAATCAATCTCTTTAAAAAGTAGAGGAGAAGCTAATTCACTGACAGCACAAACAGCACTGAAAGTTATCTTGGATGAAAGTTGAATTAGCTGCAAATTGTTCACAAACAAGTTACACATACTCACATCTTTCATGCAATTTATATATACCCAAGACTCACATTCCTTTACATGTCAACTTTGAACATGGATCACAGGGTTTTTTTGGTTGTTTTTTAAACCAGCCTTGGCTGTAACATGCCACTTGCCTTATCTATTTTGAAACACATGTCCCCCAGTTACTGTTTCTGGCATATATTTATCATCACATTATACAAATGATTTTTACCCTTAAAAGCCAAGACTACATACAATGAGGAAAAGATATGCACCAACTGCATTTGAGTGACATGAAACTGTCTAAACCACCTCTTCTCATTAATACCAACTTGTCCCAAGGTTTTAAACCATGTTTTAATGCAAAATTTGCAACCCAGAACACACTCAATCCTTTATTTATTGCAAAAGTACAACATAATTATTCCTAAATCCTGCGGTAACTACGAACAGTTAACCATACTGAGAGTGTTCCTGAAGATTACTTACGCAGCAGTAATGCATAAGGTCAAAATTTCACCCAGCTTCTGTTCTGCAAAGCTTAAATTATTAAGACAGGCAGGAGTTTGGCTCTTACTAGGTTCTGACTACGTTAAGAGCAAATGGATCTAATCCAGAGCTACTTTTTCTGCCAGCAACCTTTGGGAAAGGTTTGTGTAAGGAGATCCTTTCACAGTTTCCCCCCTCTTGGGACACTTGGATACGGATAGAGGGAGATCAAAGCAGCAGCCCAGGACAAGTACAATTTCTTTCCATCACCATTTCCACACCCAGAGCTTCCTCTCTCCAAAGTCTGCTTTGCCTTGGGCCCATTCTGGAAACCTCTGCCAAATCATGCAGCTTTCCACTCCTGCCAGATCACTGCCGACTCTGAAGTAAGTTACTTCCAGGCAGGTGGTAAGTGATGCCTCATGCCTGTATGTGAGGCACCGGTTCACACCCATGGCAAGGGGCCCAACAGCAGCTGAGAGCTGCTTTGCTGCCATGGGCGCTACCCTGATGTGGTGCAGGCAGTCATGGAGCTGCTGCCTTGGTGGGAAAGCAGCAGTTCCCAATATCCACAGAGTTAGAATGCCTAAAAACATACTCTACCAGCAGTTTGCTGTACACTACATGTCAAAACTCTGGGGTAGCAGTAACTGGCTTACTGATACTAACTTACCTCTACATGGATCACTGGCTCACAGCTCTTCTACTGTACATGTAGTATGTGCATGCAAGGTGAGAAATCTCTTCCTGATAAATTTTACTGATGAAAAAGCAGGCCTTGTATTACAGTATAAGGCGCAACCACTTTGATGTTAGCTATTTCCTGAACAGCCTCCTCTCCCTGGCCCAAGATTGTTACAGATGCAGTGGTTCTGGACTCTTACTCCCATACAACACCAGAAAGAGCCAGCCAAACACTCCAATCTTTTATTCAGAGATGTTTCTGAAGTTTTAATAGGGCTTTCCCTGCCCTGCGTGATCTTCCTTATGCTTCACCCTCTTTCACAGACTCTTCACCTTAATCTTTCATCTCTCTTGCATTTCCATTTCTATTTCATTTCTGCACCTACTGAGCCTTTGGCTGTCTCCTCAACTCCTGTTAACACCATGGGGCACAAGAAGGGATTCTCAATGGATATTGGGAGCTTCTTATTTATGCTCCCACTAGATGGAAAGAGCAAAAGGACTACTAGTTGCTCTGTAACATTCTTACTAAACAGCAAAATGGACACTTAGATTTCCATTTTCTTACAGCACATAAAATGCAATTTACTGAAGCTGCTATTTAAAATTACCTTTACTATTTGCAAGTAATTAGCATTAGTAGGGTTTCTAAGTGTTTTAGTGAAGGGACTGCTGTAAAGAGAGCGATAAATGTTAATGTTATGGAAAGCAAAATTACAAAGTGATAGAGGTGACCGCATGGGTATGGGCCTACTCCAATACAGACACAGAATATGGCATATAGGAACCAAAAACTGACCAGAATAAAGAGGAGAACCACGATCCCAC